GACTACATGTTTCCCAGCCCGAGCAGAGACATTGCGGGATAATCACAAAGATTCAGTGATTGATATATTGCATCAACATTGTACACGGTGCAATGATCTAACGATGACATTCAGCGACGCTATGTACAATGAAGCATTGATTGCTATTGAGGATCTTTGCATTATCACTGCCAACTTACCACTCAGTCATTTCGGTATATTCGCCAAATCGAAGTGCATCTGACTTAATGAATACTGAAATGAATCGTGAACTGCAGTACTGTAGAAATGGCAGCGATTGTTACTCGCAGTGTCCCACTAATGAATGACGAACAAAGAACCATTTACGACCGCATTATGCTCGTAGTTTCGGCAGGACAAGGTGGATTTTTTTTTTTTTTTTGGATGCACCAGGTGGAACTGGCAAAATATTCCTTATTTCGCTAATTCTTGCCGAAATACGATTAAATAATGGCATCACATTAGCCGTTGCATCATCTGGCATTGCGGCAACTTTATATAATGAAGGCAGAACAGCTCATTCAGTATTTAAGCTGCCACTAAATATTCAAAATAACCCAGACGCAGTGTGCAACATAAAAAAAATCGCCCATGCCCACAGTGCTGAAACAGTGTAAAATTATCATCTGGGATGAATGCACTATGGCACACAAACATTCGCTTGAGGGATTTAACAGGACATTGAACGACATAAAAACAATGAAATACTATTTGGCGGCACTCTGTTACTCCTTTCAGGTGATTTCAGACAAACACTTCCCGTCATTCCACGTTCACAATCACTAATTCGCAAGATGCATTGACCAGATATTTCCCGATGTACACACACAATACATTAATCATGAGTAGCTGGCAGAAAGAGCAATTTTTCTTTGCTACTTTGGTAGACGGTTGCACGGATTTTGGCGATTTTTCTTTTAGCGAGTAATACAACTTATGGTAAACCCATTGCTGGATAAGTTATTTATGGTAACCGATGCTTTGTTGTCATTTTATTAAAAAAATAATGCGTTTTATTATGCATAACTTCTGTGTTTTAAATATTATTTATGGATTCTAAATATTAAAAATTAATTTAATTTTACATTTTTATTTGAAATAAAATTTTGTTGTTTATAATATTTTATATAATTTTATGTTGTTGATGTAATCAATGACGTCACCTTACTTAAAAAATAATTGGTTTTATTGATATCTATAAATTTAATCGAATGTTTTAAACATTATTTTATGGCTGTTAAATATTAAAATACAATTTAATTTTGCATTTGTTTTAAAAATGATTTTATTATGAATGATTATTCAAATAATTTTAATTCTATGCGTGATGTAATCAGATCCCTGATTGGTTACTGAATATTTGTGCATTACCGCGCCATTTTAAAATTTTATTATTCATCTCTTCGAATTCGTCAGATTTCAAATGGAATGGATATCTCTGTTTCGAAGATGAATGTTGTTATTGGTAATTACCAAGAATTATTGGTATTGGAATAAAAAAATTGCCCTTTGAGACTTTATTTTGGCCAACCTGTCTTTCCTAATCAAAGATTTATTTAGAAATTGTTAATAGCGTCAGAGGAAATTTATTTTAAATTTTTTTGAGGAAACCTCGCTAATTGTTTCTTCAATGAAGTGCGAGATATGTGGATAACAGATGAAGCTGCTTAAAAGAGCCAATTCAATTATGATTTCGATTTTTTTGTGGTACTTATCAATAAACAAGAGGTTAAATTACTCAAAAAATGTAAGTACATATTTTTCTTTTATTTTATAATTGTATACTTCAATTTTTGTTAAAAAATAAATATACTATTTTCAAAAATTGCTGAGATAATTATTGTCACATATGTTTTAATGTTAATTATATTTATATAATGTATTTTAAGTATTTGAATTTAATAATATTCTAATTCTTTTAAATGTTGGTAGGATGATTTTTAATTCGATATTCAATTTCAGTAATATTTTAATGTAATTAAACGTTGGCACAATGTTTTTATAGCGGTGTTTTTATTCTTTTTTTCGCTATATGAAAGTAATAATAGCCTTACTTTAGTATTTTATACTCATAGTAAATGTATTTATTTACACTTGCCTGCCGTCTTAAAAAACGAGATTTTCAACAAAAAATTAATCCATTACTGTTAACGATATTTATTTTTTTAGAGTTTCGAATACTTTACTATGCGTAAAAACAGCGTTTTTCAAGATGGCTGACGATTGTAAAAATCGCGCCAACAATTGCGCCAACGTAAATCGCCAAAAATTCGTGCAACCGTCTACCAAAGTAGCACCGAAAGAGCAATTTTAGCAGCAAAATGTGTGGATGTCAATGATTTGAATATCAAGATACAACTGTTGTTGCCAGGGACTAAGTGTTATGCAAATCTATTGATACAGTTTGCGATGCCAACGAAGCTGTGAATTATCAAACAGAATTTTTGAACGCATCGGATTTGCCAGGCATGCCACCGCATAATTACAATTGAAGGTTGGATTTCCGATTATTTTGTTTCGTAATTTGAATCCACCACGGCTGTGCAACGGCACGCGATTAATCACTAAAAAATTAATGAAAAAAGTTGTCGAAGCCAGCATTTTAAATGGCAAGTTCCGAGGTGAAAATATATTACTACCACGAATCCCTATTATACCCACAGATGTGCCAATTCAATTTAAACGTCTTCAATTTCCAATTAGATTGTCATTTGCAATGACTATCAATAAGGCCAAAGATGTCTATTTGTGGCTTAGAATTGACTTAGAATTGGTTTTAGTGGGCAAACCATCCAGTTTGTTTGTGCTAGCTAAAGATGGGCTAACAAAAAATATTGTACCCTCTATTGCATTCTTATAAGGATTGATATTGTCATAATTAGTGATATATATAATTTTAAAGAATAAATGATAATAAATTTAAAAAATAAATGTTTATTATTTTTATATTCCGTCATCATTCACAGCGCTCCATGCCTCTTTCACTCATATACCACATCCTCAGACACTTACAAGACACAATCCACAGACCTTAGACAGTTAGGTATTTTTTCCTACCAAAAAATTCCCTAGAAATAATTTATATGGCAAAACAATGTTTGCCTGGTCATCTAGTATATATATAAAGATATAGGAATATAAATTAAAAATACACTTTTATTTCTGCAAAAAAAAAGTTCAATTGAAAAGAAAATATATTTAGTAATGCAATTTTTAAATATTGCTTTCCTGCTTGCTTTATGCTCGCAAAACTATTGATGCCATTGTGAAATGCTTACGTGATTGCTCCAGTTACTGCTTATGTAGGCAGCATAGGAAAAAAAATTATGCAAAATATTCATTTGTATATTTTTAAGTGCGCCTTAAATGATTTTTATTTACAAAAAGTCGTAATTTAAAAGAAGTCCATTTACGGTGAAAAATGTGAATCCATAAAAATTTGGAAATTATTAAAATTTATAAATAAAACCACACCTTATTAATAATAATTCATGAATAAATATTCCATTCAGGATCATCATTATCAATTTCTGAATCATTTTAATCTCAAGTTCGTAAGAATATCAACTTTATGCCGTGAAAAGATTTTTAATATCTTCATATTATAGTATATTTTAATTTTAAACAAGTTATTTTAAATTTCAGTTGCTTTAAACATTTAATGCTTGTGTGTGTATATATATATGAGCTTTCTTAACAGTAGATAAAATAATTGATATTAAATAATCGCAATTTGGTTCTCTCTTTCCTTATACAATTTTTCCTATTAGATTCTCAGGCACCGCTAAAATAAATGCATAATGCTAATAATAATAAATCCATAAGGCTTATAATAATAAACACCTACTAAAGCAACGTTAATCAAAGCGGCTCTTGCACAGTCTGATAACTTTCACAGCTGTAAACAAAATTAAAATACCTTCAAAATCCTAGTTTCTTGGGACTGGCACATGTCGATAACTTAATCTTTGAATAGCTGTTATTTACTTTGCAGAGGCATTAGATTATTTTAAGCAGGAGTCATGAGAAATGAGGAGTACCTTCGCCGAGACTCGAACCTGGACCTCTTGAATACGCGCCGAGAGTGCTAATCGTTAAACTACGAAGGCATGCCGAAAGGAGAGAGAAGGGCGACTGGGGATTAGGGGACCCAGTCACCCAATCCTGGTGATGAAGAATCATTAGCCACCACCTTTTTAGTTCCGGTGCCACTGTAGAGACATTAGGTTATTTTAAGCAGGTGCCATGAAAAATGAACAATGCCCTCACCGGGACTGGAACCTGGACCTCTCGAATACGTGCTGAGTGTGCTAACTGTTACACCATGAAGGCATGCCGATAGGAGGAAGAAAATACCCTATGTAAAAGCAGGGCTGTTTGGAAATTTGTGTCGTACGCTGTAGTGTGTTGCCCGTTTCACTCGGTAATTCTTAACAACCTAAAAAAGCATCGCATAATGTTTGAACTTCACGCAGCGCTTAAAAAAAGGGGGCGGCTTTACAGATGCTGTCATATGAAAAGCAAAATACATGCGACATTTGCTCTTCCGTATGGTTTTGGTAACATTCCTGCTACAAATTAAGAGGAACACAACACTACTAGAAGAAGGAAAACTAAGAACTGATTTATTTTGTAAGATTTCAAACTATAAAGCAGACGATAATTCAAGCTACTATAATAATAATAAAACATAAGTTAACCTTTACACCTCTAGAATTTAAACTATTGTTGTTAATTGTGAAAACATAATCATTTACTTTTATTTATTTTTGACTCACGAGTAAAGTATCGAGATCATTGATCAAACAGTTTCCTACATTTACATACAATGGGTAAGAATTTCACATAGCAATGAAGCTTAATTTCCCATAATAAAACCACAGCTATTAAACATTTCTTTTTAGTCCTTTTGGCATCAATACTGAAAGTGTTTTACATTCCAGCATTATGTTTCGTTCAATTTTATTGGCACTAATTAAATTGGGTCTTTTTCCTTTAACTAAAGTTTACAAGTTGATTTAAAAAAGTAAAAGTGATTTATTTTGCTTTTAAGATATTCTATTGTTAAAATATGATGTAAGCAAACGAAATATTTCGTCAGAATTGATCTATTACAAGTTCTTAGGACTTTCAAATGAATTAGAAGTAAAGATGCTAAACTCACACATTTCTCCCTCAGCTGTTGCCTGCTGTAGGTCAACTAGTGAATCTGAATGTCATTTGGAAACAAGAAGCAGTGTATTGCATCTTCCATTGTTCAAAAGAAACGTAACTGATCGACTGATATCAGATCAAGGCCTTGTAATTCCAAAGAAAAGTCCAAAGTATTTAAATAGACATGTAAAGGATAAGTCATATTATATCGGATTGCTTTTGCGTAAAGGATATGAAATAAGTTCTGAGATGAAGAACTTAATGAAAGAGATTGAAAAAATCCGCAAAGAGCAGTCAACGTACCATGCTTACAGAAAAAAAGCCGAAGCACAAGTTTTAGAGCTGCAACATTATCAAATGATATTGTCTGATTATAATACGCTAGAAGATCTTCTGCAGAATGACATGGATGTAAGAGACGTTAACTATGAATATTGCAAGCTGAAATCCTTGAATGAACGCAAAGCTACAATGCTTGAGAATCTTTTTCAGGCTAGGAAAAAGAAAGAAAATTTGGTTTCTGAATTAGAAACTGATATCAACCAAGAAAACTATATTTCGGATATTTTAGATTCGACTGTGAACCCTCAAATTACAGAACAATATAAAAAGCTGAAGAAAGAGAATGATCGCTTACAAAACACTCTAAAGGAACAAGAAGAAGAGCTGCAGCAATTAAATATTCAAAGAAAAGATTTGGATGATCAGTATAAGTCATTAGTCAGTTCAGAAGTAAGAAATTTGTTTAATGAACTTCGAATTGCTGAAAACGAAAGAGATGCACTTCTTGCTACCCGAAACAATAAGGACACACCAGAAGAAAAATTAAATCTTCAAAGACAGCACGTAGAAAACAAAATTATGATGAACTGCATAGTAAAACAGCTGCGAGATGTAAAGAAACACATTTCTCAAGTTAAGAAACAACTGTCAAAGGCAAAAGAGCTTAGAAATAATTTCGAGAATAAAAGAAAGAATAAATATTCTAAGTTGCAAAGTCATGAGGAAATTATGGACCACTTTTTATCTTGCTCCAATGAAATGCGATCAGATCTTCTAAGAGAAAAAACGCATTTGGAAATTACGATAGAATCTTTGCTTAAAGAAATTAGTAGAAAATTATGGTTGGACGAGGAAAATCCTCTGAATCAGCCTGCAACTATTAAGACGTGTAATTCAGAAAAGAATGTATTGGACATATCTAGTACATCTAACAGAACTTTAAGACAGAAGCAGTTAAAATTAGCATTAGAATTAGAAGAAACTGAAGAACTCGAAGCACAAATTCAAGAAGAATTATCAAATGTACGTCGAGAGATAGCTGAAAAAGAAAAAGATATAGCCAAGTTTCATGATTTCCAAATTCAAAAAACTGTGGCCGAAAAAAAGCAAAAGCAACTTCAACAAGAGCTTGAAGTTCTTAAAAGTCAACAGAACGCCTTTAAATATATTTGTGAAAATTGTAATCGTTATTACGATACTCTTAGAAAGCGGTTGAATAATAACCCAACTTTTGAAGAATTGTCAAGATTAGAAAACAGATGGCATACTCTAGAACAAGAAAACTTCGTGATTAAAGAGTCTATCGATTTGGTGAAATCCAAAATAGATTATTTCTCCCTTAAAAATAAGGTGTTAGAAACCTCACGGGAATTGAACAAAATGTTATGAAATAGTTGAAATTCATTCAGTGAGAGGAGTTAAAAAATTTTACCTACCTTTTTTTTTTTTTTTATCTCTCTTTGTGTTAGATTTTCTTAGTGAAAAATATAAAATTAAAAATAAATGAATGGGATTTAAGTAAGATTCATTGACTAAGCAAGTTATTTTTATACTTTATGTATGTAATGCATTAAATTCTGTTTTCTCGTCTCTAGGAATTTGTAATTTGAGAATAATACTTGCTGGTTAGTCCACCTGATCTCGATCCATCGAAGATTTAGGTATTGATCTTTACATATACCAATCAAAGCGGGAAAATACGAGTATAAAGAAAAAGTATATTAAAACGTACACTGCTCGGAAAAAAAGTCTGAACATTAGTTTAATAATTGTTCTTTATGAGCTTTGAATTCATTACTAGGACCTAAAAATAATGTTTACCTGAAAATCGTAATCCTGTAAATTATAATCATTGAAATTTAATTGTTAGGGTTAGAATTTAACACAGATAAGTATTCCAAAGAATAATTTTTATTAAATCACAAACTTAATTTTAATTATTTGTTTTAACTTGCATCCTAACTTTCCATTTTGTTTTGAAGAAAAACATTTTAACGGGCAAGATAACAAAATTATTTTTATTTATTATTTCACGATTCAGTAGAACCAGCTAAAGTGATATTTTATTACAAATGAAATTTTTGAACTATTTAAACACTTTTAAGTATCAGAAAAATGTCAGACGAATTTTCCCCTGGAATGAGAAAGTGGATGATGAAGTGAGAAATATCTCTTTTTTTTCATTCTCAATGCCTGACGAGAAGCGAAGGGAAATTCCTCAGTTTATTTTATTTATTTATTTATTTATTTTTTTTCGTATTTTTGAAACTGATACTTACATGCGAGACATATTCAATTACTAAGGGTTGTTTCATATTATTACATACATTCATTTATTTTTTTTACCTTACCAGAACTTCTTTTCAATAGAATGCATATTATAAATTTCATGAAGAGTTTCGGCGGAAGTGAAAACTAATATTCCAACTTCATGTGACTACCAAATGTTTGCGGAAGAGAAGACATGTTTTTATGAGTTGTAGAAATTATTTACCAAATGAAAAAATAAGTTATCATGTAGAATATTTAAAACATAAAATATTCGTAATTGCTTTTAACACATTTCCTTTTAGCTGAAAGGGGCTTTGTCCCCGGAGGACTATTGTTTTCGTTTTGCGATTTTGCGTTGGTTCACTATAAATGTCCGTTCACTTTTCAAAACTGTTGCTCCAAATGTAGAGTCCTGCATACATTAGAAGAAATTTAAATAATGAAAAAATCTGCATAAAGTATGTATATTTCTCTCATTGTGATAAAAAACTGTACATAGAGCCATCGAATTTGAATGACGTAATCCTACTGCGAATATGGCATGTGAAAAACCCAAATTTGAAATTTGGAATTTGTTTTATTATCAATTTCATATTTTGTAAAACTTTAACGAATTTTTCATTAACAAATTCAAGGATTTAAAAGCGAGCAATGGCAACGTCGTACAGGAAAAAAATTTTTATCTCCAGCGCGCGAGACTCTGTATCGGAAATTCTAAAGATATGCTTAATTTAAAAATATGTTGCGATATTGCTCTTGAACTGAATTTTATGGTTTAAGTGCGAAGAACGTGATATTTAATAAATAAAGGTAGCAGACAAAATGTTAAAAAAAAATGCCTTTTTGGACGTAATTTAAAATCTGAAACCTTTTGGATTGTTATTTTTATTCATTTATTTATTTATTTGCTGTTGCACTGCTTGATATGGATTTCAAAACATGGGCCTGTATCTTACAATTACTGCGGCGGTAATTCAGTAGTTTTATAAAATAGCGAATGAACGTATATAAAGTTATCATGTATGTGCACATCTTCAGATTCCATAAACTGAAACTGTTCAGTAATGGAAATCTGTTTCCGATTATTAATATAAAAAACAATGCATGTCTTCTAAAACTTTTTTCATAGTCTGCATTCAACATATGATTAGATTAAAAGAATTAATAGAGTACAATATAAATAAATAAAGTGCGTTAAGCTGTATTTATAGATTCCTTCCAGATGTACCACTACTCCCACTGTAGTTGAAACATTAAAAGTCTCTGTGAAAGAATGCTGGGACCATGCGTTGAATCATTAAGGATTGGATTGGATTGGATTATTTAACTATGGCAAAGTACACGAGGGTTATCTGCCTAAAGGGAGGGATGCCTTCGTGGAGGACTTTCTAATGGAAACTGACTTGTATACACGTTACACATTGAATCATTAAGGAAGCTAAAGCTTACTTGTACATAATTCAGGTTAACTGCTTGCGTACTGTACCCGTGTTACTATATTACTAAGTTATTAACACGTATGCACATACACACATATACGCAAAGAGGAGGATAATGGTGCCTGATTAAATTTCTTTTGAACTATTGGATACCTTGTGCCTTGTACAGCTTAAGACAAGATTGTGCCTTGTACAGCTTAAGACACGAATTACATAATTCAAAAATCAACCTGAACTATTGTGATCAGGTGACATGTTTCACTAAAAACACATAAAAATTAAATCTACTACTTCTTTATTATAGCGGCCGTCGACCTTATACAGCTATGATTTCACCATACTCGTGAAACTAAAAATAAAAGGACACAATATGTAATAACAACAATAATACTCGGATGTTGTTTGCTAAGAATATTTTTAATAATCTTTAAAGTGATTGTAACCAGCTTCTTCAAAGTTGCTCCGTTTTAGATCGAAGTCGTTGATCCATCTTGCACTCCCATGTTGAACAATAATTTCATCCATTATTATACTAGAATCTGTTTTCGAGATTTAAACGATAAAGCCCTCCCATCGTCCCGATGTATTCCTTCAAAAATCTACCGTTGTGGGAATATTCTCCTTCTGGTGTTCTTAAGTTGGATGAACAAACTGTCATCGATTTCAACTATTTTATTGGGACTGCCTGTTCGCATATTGAATCTTAGCATCAGATATAGGGAACATTTCCTGGTGTAATTGTTCCAATCAACTGCAGAATTTTCACACTTATTAAGCTGTTTGTCACACCAATTGATGGACGTCAGTTCCTCTGCCCAGGAATGCCTAAATCTAATAGCAGTAAACACTAATATTCTGGAACCAGTAAACCAATTTCCAACACCGAGGCCTTTCTTCTTTTTAAGGTTTTTTTTTACTATAAACCTTCAAATCGTTTCGTCGTTAACATATTTCCTGTTGTGGTTATTTTCGCATACTCGTTTGTCAGGTAAAAGACCTCTTTCTTGGAAAAAAAACGATTTAGTATCCACCTCTTTATTTGATAAATTAAAGAATTGTTAACAGCCTATTCACCAAAAAAAAAAAAAAAAAAAACAGGAATAAAACCGGAAAGATAAAAAAAAATTTATATTATATATTTATGTAGGATATATCAGCGATTATATAAATTAATAGTAAATTTTAAATATAAATTTAATTGCAAACATAATGATTAAGATTGATGCGAACTACTCTCATTCATTTCTTCTAGAGGATCTTAAATCAAGTGCAAGGATCAAAAACCCTGAATAAATATATAATTTCCATAAAAATTTTTATCCTAAAAAATTTTATAAAATGAATAACTGATATTGTTGCGCGCCGGAGACCGTACAAAGGGAAGTTCCTCCAAACCCAATCTTCAAGATCATTCGTGTTTCGCCATCAATATATAATATAATATTAAGAAAAAAAAAACATCGGCCTGTTCGAAAATCTTAGCAAGATTGAACACAACATAAAACACTGGCGAGCTAGGGCCGTATAATAAGGAGTACGGTATGGGTTATGCTAGTGGCTCTTTTTATGGAAGACGCAAGGGTAGTGGGGATATCGAAAAAGTTTTATATGGCCTAATAATAAAATAGCATATACAAAGACAGAGAAATAAACTAAACGTGATCTCATTTTAAAACCACTCTTAACCAACTTATACAAACTCGCTAATTCAGTAACGATAAAGCCCTCCCATCGTATATGCAAAGTTTAATAAGTATTTAAATGCAAAGTTTTTAAAACATATCTTTTACATTCGGAAAACGTTATTACTAAAGCATTAGTTTTAAATGTCCATTTACAGAAATGCTAAATTTTCAATTTTGTGGACGTGATGGAATTCAGTTTTTACGCTACCATTTATAGTAACCATTTTCTTCTATCTTATTTATTGCTAAAAGCATTCTATAGAAACACTGGATATCCTGAATTATTTAGCACATTTCTTAAATATGCAGAGGGATCTGCGATAAACCGCTGAAGCTACATTAAGTCTTGAAATTTTTCTAAAGCATGGAATATAAGAAGGAATTTGTTTTGAAACAGACCATCACGATTTCAAGTATGATATGGAATTACCTTGATGCTACATTAGACTACCGTTAAAAGACATGTTGGCCACCTCAAAGGAAACCTTAGAAACCTTTAAGAACGTGGCAGTGAGAATCTCATGAATATGGATTCTTTAAAACAACAGGAAAGCTGGGATTCGAGGAATGAAGAAGACAGGGGTCTGAAGGAAATACAAAAAATACAATCATGAGTAGTGAGCGTACAATAGCATAAAAGGGGTTAGGTAGGTTTATTTAAACAGGGCACACGAGGACTGTCTGCCTAAGAGGAGGGCAAATTGTTCTTTCTTAAGGGAACCTGACTCGCATTCACGTTCGACATAGGAAAAACCACGAAAACCAATCATGTAGCCAGCCCGTTAACCTGGGCTCAAATTCAAGTCAAACCAACATTATTCAAGGCCAGAATCGAACGAACTAGAACTGGTAATACTTATCTTAATTAATGTAGCCCACATCAACGGTAGTTCTTCAAGCTGGAGAGTTTCTCCTTTGCAGTTGATTAATAGGTAATTAGTTTTTGAAATCTTCCTGAACCAGGCACTGGGATAGACCTGTTAGCTTAATTGTGAACTGTAAGTAATATGAATTTGCTTGAGAATCAGAAATTATTTTATCTTTATTAGTTTTAGTTAAGTCTGTGACATATGAT